CAGTGGATGGTGGCGGTGGTGGTGGACGACGATGGTGATGGACGGTGACGGTGATGGTGGACGGTGGTAGTGGTGGACGGTGGCGGTGGACGGTTGTGGTGGTGAAGAGAAGTAGAAAAAAAAAGGAGAAGATGTTAGAAGATGTTAGAAGACATTGGTTAATATCTTCTCCAAGAAGATGCCAGGAAGACCTTTTTGAGTGAAATGTCTTCCAAAAAACAAACAATCTGCAGAGCTCATCATCTGCGCGGCGCAGACAAAAGACGCCAGAAGGTCTTCTGGCAGAAAAACAAACACCCCCTGGTCAAATTTTAATTATTTTTTTTTATCTATTTTCGTTAATTATTTAATAAAATAACATTGTATTGTCTTTTGTTGTTTATTAGACCTTTTGACTTAGTTTTAAATATACAAATTTCATTTTTAAATTTTGGACCTATAATCAAATAAATAAATTAAAAAAAAAGTCGGTCAAACCTTGTAACCAGAAACGGGAAAAACGTTTTAGGACGGAAGGATTAATAAATAAAATTTTTTATTAAATTTATTTAAATTTTGAATAAAAATGAAGAATAATACTCACTATGTCCCAATTTTGATTACAAATTGTGAGTTATAAGGTAAAATCATGTGACTTTTGAAATCATTTTATTTACAAATTGATACATCAAAAAAAATTAAAAACATACTCAGTATTAAAAAACTACATCAAAAGTTCTACAAAGCAAAAGATGATGCGAGTATTTTATTTTATCAAATAATCAATGAAAATACACAAATAAATAAAAGTCTTCGGGATGAGAGAAAATAAAATTGTAATCAAAATTGGGACGAAGTAAGTATAAAAGAAACACAGATGCGAGGCGAGAAGGTAACAATATATTATAGGTATTTTTGAGGCGAGGCTGGAAAGCAATACTTGGTTTTACGTAGAATATTAATGTAGCTCATGTTCTCTTCAACTTATTTTTTCTTATTAGCTATTTTTATTAAAATTAGATAAGATCAAAAATAGTTTGAAATATAAATCCATTTACAATTCAGAATTTCAGATATCATACGGAGTATCAAAACTTGGTTAACCATAACTATTAGGCTAGGCGAGATTCTTCCCCATTAGAAACGCGATAATAAATTTGAGTACTCTCTCCCCCAAAAGAAAACGTTACGGAAAATGAGTCCCCACCACCTAATCACTATGTCGCACCAGTGGCTGTAATTATTTACCGGTGGGCGTGACACTCCAAGGGGCGGGCCCC